AGTAAAAAAAAAAGAGGTCCGTTTTATATCGATACGTTATTTTGAAATAATTGTTCTCTGCCACCCCAAATCATAATGTACGGAAATTTTTATATATTAATCAAATTGCAATAGATAACAAATCACGTCAATGAACTAATATACTGACGCATGAGATTTTAGATAAATCACTTTTTTCAGATCAGCATTCAAAACGTATTGTGTGTAAATGTACAAATTTTGTCATGATATATTAAACTAATTTGCGAGACCAAGTACCTGGTAAACATTTTTTTTTTTGGTTCAGTATATTTTCATAGCAAAGGTTTGTTGTTTATATTTTAAAAGTTGTTAAAAATCTCATTAACTAATGTAAGAATGAACAACCAGATACATATAGCATACTTTAGTAGAGGAATTGATCAACTTATATTCATAGATAAAACATAGAGATAAAGAGAAAGATATTGATACTTAAACGTAAATCCATCTTAAAAAAAATAATTATATATGTTTGGCCATAGATCTAAACTTGGTTCATGGTTTGGCTAAAGTCCATTATATATAATTACATGTGTCATTGATTGGCGTCCACCGTTAGAAAATAATTACATCTATTTATGTCCTTCATATTAGAGTAATTACAAATACTGTTGGAAAAACATCAGCCATGAGTAACTGGACAACGGTGCATTCGTATCTTGAAAATCGTAACAAGATCAAATCTGCATGTGATATTAATTGAATCAAGTGAAGTTAAACTCTATCTTAACGTATGCCAAATCTCTCTCATCTAAATAAGACGTAAAACTGATATGACGGCCTATATTTTTGACCAAATTCATTCGGAGGAAAATGAAAAAAAAAAAATACTGACCCTTTATTATGGCATATTTATTCACACTCTCATTTTAGAGAGATTCTCTTAAAAAATAGAGATATCTCTCAACTTAAAGAGATATCTCTCAACTTATCTCTATGCTCTTAAACTATACTTAGAGAGATATCTCTTTTCATTAGAGAGATATCTCTTCCACTTGAAAAGATATCTCTTTCTCCTTTAGAGATATCTCTTTCGTGAAAAGAGATATCTCTAAACATTAAAGAGATATCTCTTTCACCTAGAGAGATATCTCTTTTAATTTTGGAGATATCTTTCCAAGTTAAAGAGATATCTCTTTAAGTAAAAGAGATATCTCTTTTAGTTTATCTTAAGAGATATCTCTTAAAGTGAAAGAGATATCTTTCAAAAGTGTTTAAAAGAGATATCTCTCAAGCAAAAAGAGATATCTCTTTGTTGCAAAGAGATATCTCACTTCATATTTTTTATTCAAATTCCATTTCAAATGACTTCTCCCTGTACTGGAAGTAAGCTTTATATTGACGCCATTAGAAGTTGATTATTTCATAAGAGAGTGAGATTATATATATGCTTACTTTCGTTTTCCTGAATATTAAACTTTTAACATTTTTATCAACAAAATTACCATTATTATTTGTTGTTTCAAGTAAAGGATTTATAGCATTTTTGTCTACAGTTCATGTATTATTCTGGTAATGCTAATTAATTGCTCAGTCTTTTTTCTTATAACAATCAAAACTATTGAGGAGACTTTACTTCCTGTTTCGCTTTCGTTTTAAAGTGGAGAATTTTTTCTGCATCACGTTCTCTTTCATTGAGATATCTCTTTAATAAGGATATCTCTTTTTGAAAATCTAAAGAGATATCTCTCTACATTTATATCTCTCTGGGTGTAAAGAGATCAAATATAGCAAAGAGATATCTCTCTTTCAAAAAGAGAAAAAGAAAAAACTTCAAGATATCTCTTTTCGTCAAAGAGATATCTCTATGAGCTAGAGAGAAAGAGAAATTTTTATATGTGTTTACACAAGAGAGATTTCCCTTATCTGCGTATTGGCGTTATCGAGTTTATGATGCATGTAGAGTAAAGACACCACTTTCCCCCCTCTAACAGCTCTTAAAATTGATTATCTTTTGATGGAAAGATTTTTTGCTGGTAAAACAGTAAATTCAAAATTAAATTGATACAAATGTGAACACAAAATATTAGCAAAGAGAAGAAAAAAAATTAGTGTGTTTAAAATGTCAGGTGAAGAAGAGTATAAGCAAAGCAGTCATCAAGCTGAAAAGCCTTAATAAACAATCCAATGTCAGAGGTGGAATCAGGTGCATTAGAGGAGAAAACTTCCCCTATCGATCTGTCACTGTGTGTACCCGCTGTCTTGATTAAATAAACGGATAAATCCAAAAGAAGATGGGGGGGGGGGATAAGGCGGACGAAGTGCCTATATAGTGCGACAGATAAGAAGTGAAGAGTTAAATCTCCATTACATCCAAATTTTATTTGATATTTCATCTAAGGTTCAAGTATACTTAATGTAAAATCCCTACAATTTACAAAAATCCTAGAAAGACTGAAAATATTTGCTTATGAAAAAGCATACACACACTAAAAAGAACAAAAACGATCATTTTCTCATACTTTAACAATTTCTTTTATTATGGATGGATCTTCGCTCCATTTTTTTTGAAAGATAATCCTAAAAGTTTGCAATAAAATATACATTTTTTTGGTTTACAAAAACATGGAGCGAAGACCCACTATACCTTAAAAGTACAATGACAAAACAGTTGCAGTCTTTCAAATACTTCAATCCCTTAAGTCAAGGTGTGATTTAAATGCCCCATGAGCCGTGTAGCAATTTATTGCACTAGACTCAAAAAATCCGGGTTTTTATTACTCCCCAAAAATATCATCTTATGTTTTTATCAAAGAAAAATTTTCTACGAGATTTTTTTTTCGCTCAGAAAAGTTTTTTCTCTCATAATTTCATAAATTTAATAATTAGAAGTTAATCTAAATACTCAATTTACATATCGTACATGATTTCTTAATGTCCGACGTTAAAGGCATTCTGTCCGCCTTGTTCAACCATCTTCTTTGTTAATTATGAAGATAAGGGTCATAAAATTTTTATTAAAAACGTTAATTTGATAACCAGTATACAAGTACAGTCTTTCAAATAAATGTTGTAATATGACTCAATTTACCAAGAAAAAAATCCTCTCCTCCATTTTATCAAAGATATTCAAAGGAAGGTTTTTTCTAAGAATTTTAAGTTAAGTAAAAAAGAGTTCTTGCTGTTAATGCTTGTTTCTATTTTCAAGTTTTATAGTAGTTTAGCCTAACAGGAGGTATTTGTAAAATATTTGTATATTTATCAAAAGTCCTAAACGATTATTTTATGATGAAAAGATTGCATACGTTATACCATGAAAAAGAACTCACAGAACTTGCACAGTGGAATATAAAATTCTTTACGATATATTAAGCGATCGCATTTTTTTAACTTCCCAAAAGATTTTGGTTTCAAAAGAGAAAAAGACATCAAGCACACTAAAGGGTTATAAATCCTTAATTATTTTCCCATGAAATATAAATGTAATTGACTTTTTACAAAAAACTATGCCATTGAAATATAAGAACTAAATTTCAGTTCCGTGATTTGAGATATGGATATAATTGAAAACGTACCTCCTTGCCATAATGCTTTTGTGTTAAATTATTTGGGAGTTTCTGGAATGAAATCTTCTAAACTTTCTCTCATTGTTGAGTAATATAAAAGATATAAATCAAAGAAATTTTACCTCTTGGTAATTATTTTTATTATATTAAGATCTAATTAGGCTAAAGGTTATTCTCTTGAGACTCTAAGACTGATCGTTTACGTAGGTAGTCATTACATAAAAGACCATAAAGCACATGATATAAAATTCAAAAGAAACGTTAATCACTTTGGCAATTTATTTTATCGATATTCTATCCAAACATTTAACGCCTTACTGCAGAAAATATTACGAACTAATGAGTAATGACGTAGTGTATACATTTCGATATTTTGGTTTGAATTTTTTCAAAAAGTTTTCATATTTTTATATTAAATGTGTTTGTCTTTTTAAAGATAAGATTAGGAAATAGCACTGACAAGGACATTTTGATAATAGTGTATAGCTTTTGGTTTTGCAGTGTACTATGAATACTAGTATATGATTGAAGAATTTAGCAAGGTAACTTCATGCATTTTTTCGTGCAAGGTAAACGCGATTTTAAAACAACAAATATTCTTAACTTATTTATTATCTTTAATCATAAGGTTGAATAACATACAGAGTTATACAGGAATTTCGAATAGGTTATTGTAATATTGGCTCCTTTTGCGTTTTAAAGCACCTACATTTAAAAATGTTATTTTTCAACATGTGTTTTTTGGTCAAATTTGTGTTTTTTGATTATTGGGTAATTGCATGTCATGCTATTCTTTAATTTTTGGAGACCGCTAACCAGATCTATATACAAATAATAGAGGAACGAATCCGTAAAATTAAATAAATTTCATATGCTACCATTGTGTCATTTATAAATGACTTATTTCCAACTATACTCATTCTGGGTTTGTCTTTGCTTACTGAAAAAATGACGGACATACTATTTTAAATGTTCAAGCTTATCATATTGGGGGTATAAACACTATTTTTCTAAAAGAAAAACCGTAGGAGATATAATTTCTCAACAAATTCAACTTTTTAAGTCACCAGCACGCTCTATTGCATTTATGAGAAGCGATAATAACATTTGCAATATTAATGCATATTGAATTAAAATATTTGTTTTGAACTTCATGCATTTTCTTTTTCATAAATTATTTTCCTACTGATCAGTGATACTGCAATAACAAGAACGCATTTAAACGTTAAATCCTTTATACAGAAAAAAAGGAACATCGCAATTAAACAAAACTTGCGCTTACTAATCGTATTTTTATTTCGTTATGGTCTGTTCATATAATTAGGATGACAAAACAAAAGTGCAAATACATTGTGAAAATAACAATGTTTATGCCCTTTGAAGTGGTCAGTTGAACCATTTAACGTCTTAACAAGATTAATTACACCTGTTCGATATATTGAAATACAAACTCATGTTTTGTTTCATTTGCAGGTGGAGAGGATACAGAACACCTGTTAAAGACGTATCTAAAATGAACCGATAATCCAGTTTGATTTTGAAAATGGCATAACATGGCATTGTTCCGAATGAAAATCGCACCAAGCATCTGCTTCGCCTGATTCCTTCATAAAAACGACTCGTATTATATGTAGTTACAAGCATGGAAGATTTTGATCATTTTCATCAGCAAATTGAAGATTTTCTTAGCGAGTTTAAAAACAAATCGAAAAACCTCTCCGCTGTTGCTGCGTTTAACTTACATATAAAGACTACAGCAAACGATACAAATGTGACGAAAATCGAGAACGACTCAAATAAACATGTCGTCGGAAACATCATTTTGATAACAGCATATACCATTTTGATGTGCATTTCCTTATTTGGAAATAGTATTGTCTGTTACGTCATCGTTCGTAATAGAAGAATGTATACCGTGACCAATTTTTTCATCGCCAATATGGCAATATCGGATCTGTTTGTCACATGTTTCAATGTTCCATTTAACATTGCAAGACATTTACTTGATGAATGGCCATTTGGAGATTTTATATGCCATCTGATGAATTTCTCATTGATGATATCAGTGTATGTATCCACATTTACGCTGACCGCCATCGCACTAGATCGTCAATATGTTCTTCTTTATCCGCTAAAGCCTAGAATAACCAAACGTTCAGGATTAATCATTTTGGCCTTTATATGGGTAATATCTTTTCTCTTGTCATTGCCGTATGGAATTTATACTGAAGTGTCCGAGGTCAACTTCCTGTTAAGAAGAGTGAAAAGATGCAGATCTAATTTTCCGGAACCGAAAGAAGAGTTTGAGAAGACATTGACTATAACAACAACAATTATACAATATTTTATTCCCTTAACCATCATAGGGGTTTCATACGGACGGATAGTGAGGAAGTTATGGCGCAGAACCCATCTTGGCGCAGTCACGCACTCACAACAACGATCTCAAAATAAGGCAAAACGCAAAAGTATAAAACTATTAATAACAGTGGTGGTTGTATTTGCGCTTTGTTGGATGCCCTTGAATTTATATCATATACTGACCGATTTTCATCCTAATACCAGCGTCTTTCAATACAACAGTACAGCGTTCTTTGTTTTTCATTGGATAGCCATCAGCAGCACGTGCTACAACCCTTTCGTTTATTGCTGGATGAACGAATCATTTCGAAAAGAGGTAAAGTCCTGTATAGATGTTTGTTTCAGATCTTGTCAATCAGATCCTGGAAACAACAAAAATGGTTTCTTGAGCCGGAGAAATTTCTTTAATCGGTACAGTCTGAAAACAATGTCGACGATTTTACGACCAAGTTCCACCTTCAGTACCATTCCGTATTCTACCAAATCCTGTCTAGATTCCTCAGGCAAATCCAAGGACGACATTCCTTTGTTTGAGACGAATCACACTGTGTTTTCAGATATTTCAAATACATAACCCGGTTCTTGTTAAACTTTCCCACGAAATATTCCATCCAATTTTATTCCATGTTTACAGCTTTGTTAAAAATGAAGAAATTGTATGTTTCTGTTGACCATTTAACGGTAGAGGTGTCCTGTTCTGTCTCATTACTTCTCTTTTAATCAATGTTTGTATAAAAACTGCAAATATGTTGCTTGTCTATGTGTTATTTTTCATTAGTCTGAATTTTCTTTTTCGAAGTGCCGTGGCGATCTTACTCGAGAGGAAACATCAAATATCCTTAGAGCCAGACAGTTTTCCATGGTTCGGATGGCTTCTGTTGTACGTGAGGGCACTTTTGATCCAACATGTCTACCCCTCCGACAAATCCATGGTTCTTCAAGAGAATGTGATCCATGCCTGTTAGCATATTTGACGTATTTAGATATACATGTATGAAACTTTGTTTTTTTTCCATGCTTGGTAGTCAAGTTTCTTCTTTAAAACCACAGCATTTGTTATTATCTCTTTCTATTTTTGTGAATAATTATATAATTTCAAACGTCATTATTTTCATTTTGTTTTTTTTCTTTAAGCCCAATGCATTCAAAGAAAATGAAACTTTGAGTTGAAAAATTGAATCATATAACAGAATCAAAGGAATCATGGAGAGGCAGATTGTCCCATATTTTAATTTCCCTGAAATATATGGAGATAATGAACAGTATTAAAGATCAAAAGTCCATTCCCTGCTGCCGACCGGTCAGACCCGCTGTGTCACGTGCTCCTTGTCAAGATCAGGAAATAACGGAGAAATACGTCGTCAATTCTGTGTTTAAAAATGTACTAACAATTATTTTGCAAAACGTCAGTCAGCATTTGACTCAATGATAAATTGTATTTGCTGACAAGTTCAATGTATTGACCATAAATCTTATCTAATGATGACTTTAAACCAGACTGCTGATATTCTTGTTTCATCAACTTGTTTGTCCATAATTTACCTCGTTTTATAAATTATACATATACAGAGCAAGCTTTTGCGTATTGAATCAACTGAGAGATATAAACTCCGTATGCTGGTGATGAAGGTAAATTGCTGCATAAGTAATGAAAGCAGACGATTAAAAAGTTGAAATCATCAAGTTAATCATAGAGATTGGTTGGTAGATTGCCATTAAAGTCTTTTTCAAGTAAATATTCAAATATATGGTAACAGATATGCCAGACTCTGTGCTATCTTTTATCTCAAGCTCACCGAAATATACCGTATTGATATAAGAATGGACATAATCATTGTTGATTAAATCAGATAATTTATAAGATAACGAAGACAAAGGATTCAATTCAATGAAAATAAATCTGATTTTGCCCTTATTTGCCACTTTAAAATACGACCAAATGATATGTAACTTTTATTTACAAACTAGGTCGCGTGATAACGTACGAGTTTGCAAATGTTGAATCAAACGGTGTTGATAAAATTGTTATTTAAAAAAACGTTTAAATTGCAACATCAACTTATTAGTCATAAATTTGTCTCGGTTTTTAAATGTATATAACCCAGACAATGACTTTAAGAATCAAATCATTCAGGAGATGAAGCATACACCAAATAAAGGTGATTTTGTAATATTCCAAAAGGAGGATGGAAGAACTGAAGAGATCAAGTGAGTCCATGGCACCTGATCCCATCTCTAATGTTTGGGGCTCCGTGTTTACTCCGCTCCTACTTTGTTATGTTCGAGTGATTTTTGGGCTCGAATACTGTTCGTTATCTCCACGTTTCACAAGAAAGTTATAAGTTGGTCGTTATCGTCCATAGTCTTCAAAATCTTCAAATATGAAATGGATTTGGCAGACTCCATTGGATCACTTATTAGGGTACATGAATTCGGCGTATGAATGAAAGTAACCATAAAATTTGTTAACAAATAGAATATTGCTCAAGTACTAGTATCTCAATTGTGGGTTGAAAACCACAGCAGTTGTTTTTTCTCTCTCAAGAAGTGCTTGAATAAATTTTGATTCGTACTGTAGGAATAGAAAATCATTTCCTTTATTTCCGATGAAGCCGTTTATCAGTCAGTATACAACACTAATCATGACACCTGTACAGATTTCTTTAGACGTGGCTGCTTCATCAATTATGCATACGAGGACAAACACCTCAATATTTAACATATAATAAATATAAAAAAAAATGAAAACAATAAAATGCTCTTATTTGATTATTAGTACGGGAATGAACGTCGCAGCTATTGCAGAAAAAATAGAGTTACTGTGTACATCAAAGTCACTAAATGATACGTCTCGCCTCCCCGATGAATATAAACACAACGTCCATGTTTTGCTATGAGAGACCGAAATAAGTATCCATCAAAGAGTAAAATAAGAGGTGTATAAAAGTATTTTGCAATAAAGAATCTGTGAAAGTATCTTTAAATTTTATTCAGTTGTATAGGAGGAGTTGCGGATTAGAGATGGGTACCTTTCAGTTTAGAATGGCAGTGCCCATACTTTACCATGGAAACCCTAAAATATGAGTCGGATAAAAAAAATAAAGTGTTATAATATGCGCATCCTTTTTTTTACTTTTTAATCGGACACATGCATATATATAGAAAAATATATATAGACATCACTCAAATTACAATGCAATAAACCTTACCATTCTAGTAGAAATCCTAAGGTTGTCCTCAAAGCAAGTAAAGTTCTAATAAAATTTAAGTAAAATCAATCATATAAAGGGCTTCAGTTTTGTAGAGAAAGTGCCTTATTGCATAAAAAACTGTTTGAATTTATTTACTGTATAGGGGGAAAATAACTCGCGGTGTTAATATTCGCTATATTCACGGTGTTAACAAATCCGTGAATTCAAGAAACAGTGAATAAATTTTCAATAATCTCTATGTTGTATTTGGAAATTTGAGAATAGACTACGATAGAAATATACAAGTGTACGTGCAGTCCATGGTCATTTCAGTAATTGCGAGTAGCACTGTCATTCAATTAGTTTTAATTATCACGCTTTGCTTTAATTCAAATCGGCAGATAATAATTTGTGTTTGTCCAAAAGCTGTTTTAATAGCCAACGCTACATGTTTCATCAATCAAAACACGTGGCCCACGGGTTTTGATTACCCCTGCGTAACTAATGTTACCACGTGTATTTGTTACCTGTATTCCCATGCATATAAGTTCATGTAGTTTTTATCGACATTTTGCTTTTAAAAAATCATTCAAAAAAAATATCGAACTTACTGACGAAGGAAGTGTGGAAAGATCTTATTTCGTAGAACTACATAAAAAGTTTTATTTCTGTCCAGTGGTTTTTTGCCGCGTTGTATTGAAGATCTCGGGTGCACATGTACTCATCGTAATAGCAAATAGGTATGTCATTTAACGTTTAGGGACTATTAATAACTGCACTTGCGTTAATTAATCATTTATAAAATCTAACTATTTTATAATAACTTACCCCTTTGTTCGTGAAATAAAAACATAACGCTGATAAATTTCGTTGACATGTAGCTATGGTATGGATAAAATGGAGACAAGAGAAGTAACTTTTACTACATACCAAATTCCGCGAATTCAAGAAACCGCGATCGTGTCAGATGAGAGAAAAACGTGAAAATTACAACCCGTGATATTAATCCCTTATACAGTATATGCAAAACTGTACAAAACTATGCGCAATAAAGATAAAGGGAAACATCAACCAGGCAGACAACGAATTATATGAGGGGTCAGGGGACATCCAGTGCCATAGCTGGAGGATCGCGTCAGTAAGGATAACTTACTGTTAGACTAGCACAGAAAGCAAAAGAAAGGAAATATATATTGAGACATTAATTTCCTTAAAATCGACCCCTCGTGAAAAAAGGTTAATTTAAAAAAGCTTTTCCGATAATTTAACGGGCATTAATTGTGCCACCAATCGAAATGAAGGTTAATATTTTTTCATGATTCTTACAAATACTTTAATTTTTCAAACATTTGCTTGAATTTCCTCATTGTAAAACATACTTGGCTTTTGCTTGATTTAATTTATATTCTAAAAGTTTTTAAAATTCATTTGTGTGTTGTGTTTTTCTTCTATTGGAACATTCAAAGGGTGTGACACTTCCAAGAACGAAATCAGTAATGCATGTGATAAGAAAAAAATCCCTTTACAAAATAAACTTAATAGAATCAGTTGTTGATTTAGTGCTGAAAAGGTTAACATTTTAAAAATTCATTAGCATTATTATCATAACAAACTATGACCGAATTTAAAAGACATATGAACGTCTTCACTCCAGATGTAATGACTAAAGAGTAAAAGTTTAAATATTTGAAGGAAAATTTAAATATAAAAGTGCACAATATTCCAACGAAAATAAATGAAGATTCTAAAATGTTTTATAAGTTGGTTTTCCTTTCACTTGTCTTTTGGAATATTGTATTTAGACAGTGTAATAAAAACCTTTGGAATATTTGAAGCCGAACGTACACGCAGAGAGCTTATACATGTATCAATTACAAATCTAAAGTTAATTATAGTAAATAAGAGGGACAAAGAAATCGTCTTTTGATTCGTTTGAATACTTTTTTGTCATGTTATTTAGAATATTTATATGACAGGCTTTTATATATATATATATCTAAGTACATGAAGTATACCGTCTAAAATGAATGAAATGATAATATCGATAGTATAGAGAAAAAGTACTTCCTTCCATCGAAACATTGCGATTTCATCCATTTTTTTTTACCTGTAAAGTACTGACTTTCAGAAAAAGTTAAGAACTGATAAATTAACACACAAAATTCATTATTTAATTTTTATTTTTAATCATACCTTTTTACATGAGTAAGATATCGAAATTGCACCACGAAAAGACTTTGTAAAATTTTCGCACATTTTGCGTAGATCGCGATGTTTAATCCAACAAAGAGAAAAGAAAGTCTGAAAAAATGTATCATATCGATAATTTCTGGGCCTTTGCAAGTATCTAAGTTTAAGATTATTTTCCATTAAACTAGATATAAGCGTGCCTTTAGCCTTGACATGCTTGGTCATTTAGTGTAAAGATTTTTGGGTCCTTTAATGAGGACTACACGATTAGAAAAGATGAAGAATATACATGTAGCTTACAAATTAAACAAAATAATGATGCAAATCCTTTGATGTTAATGGTAAGTGAACTGATTTTTGTAAAAAAGGCTATAAAGAATTTTAGCTTTCACCCTTAATTAGTATACGTTAATTCTAAAATAAGTAACATGCAATTTTTCCCCTCTTTGACTAAAAAAGAGTGAGCTTTTTGACAGTCTCAGTTTGGGAATATCAAAGAATATGACCCTCTTTTGCACATGTATTTAATTTAAGGTACATAGTCATCACATTTTGTGCGAATCTATGTCTTGCATTTACTTAATTCCCTCGACTATTACCCAGGACTGTCGCAATTGTTATACTGCATATAATCTTTCAGTTTTGATTACTATTGGGCCCATATGCATTCTTCAGAAAATTAAAATTCTGTCTGCTTTTAAGTTGATGGGTTAAGGGGGTGCAAATGCCATATTTTGTTTTTAATATGTCGAACGTGTGCATTCATCCCTACAAAAATTAGAAAGCGAAAATTGAAAACAACATTATTTTTTTAATTTCCATTTAAAGAGGGGTGACTCAAAAATCATCGCTCCACATCTCAATTCTAACTTGACCTGCATGTATTTTTCTTGTAAAATAGCTGTCTATGCGATTTCAAATATAAACGGATCCAGAAAATTTCACATTTCTATAAGTGTGAGAGGGATAACTCTATCATAAAAACATCAGACCACGACCAAAGAACGCAATCTCTACCCAGAGTTATCGTTCAACTTTTACCTCTGTCATCGTCTAAAAACTAGTGCAGGATCGGAGGAACGTGATTTTTTCAAGTATTGTTTAAAATGGACTGCAAAAAGATGCACCTTCCTTTTTTTGTATGCGTCAATTCTGCAAGTTGTTTGTTTAAAAAACTAAATCATGTTTATTTATCAGCAAAACTTTTTAAATTTTCCACGTATGCAATATCCTGCCGAGAAATAATCCCCTATCAGATGATGAAATAGCGAAATCTGAATTTGATTCTCATAAATAAACCTTCATTTTAGCTGTTCAGCAAGAATTTAGAAGTGTTACATTGACAATTTATGATGCAAAAGGTAGAAGTAAGTTTTGCCAAAAATCCTGGCATTTATAGACGTTAGCAGAGGTATTGTAGCGAAGTGAATGATAACTCTTGGTAGAACGAGGGTACCTCGAAAGGAATCTGGGAGCACTTGCAAAGTGAAAATTCCCTTGACGCATCAAATATAATATTACATGTATATTTGTTGTTTTGATGTATCTGGTTGCTTTGAAAATTGAAAAAAAGAACATTTTCCCTGATATTTTGTTCTGATTTGCTAAAATAAAAAAAAAACAAACATGAAAAATGTCTAATTCCTTGAGATATCTGCAATTCGTTGTTGTTATTGGAGGGAGGCGTGACAAATATTAATTGTAAGGGCATTAATCGCTATAAATCTGAAAAATAATAATTTATTCTACAATCATTGCTTATATAAGTTTAAAAAAAATTATCTTAAAAGTTGTAAAAAATTACTGCATATTTTATTATTTGTTTAGGATTGTATTTATTCACTGTTCTTTCCTATATTTAGAATATCTCCAAATCTTTCAAAAATCTGTATCGACAACATATATAAAAAATCTTCAACATTTAATAATCCTGTCATAGTTATCTTTCTTTCCATAAAACTGGAATCTTTCTGTCTACGCCATTACTGGTGGAATGAAAATATTTACAGCAATGAGGACCTTAAATGAACTATACATGTAGGGAGATAACGAACAGTTTTCAACCTCAAAAGCCCCTTTTGAAAACAATATAATACAACATAGGTACAGATCAAACATAGGCCTCTAAAACAAAAGAGGAAGGATTAGGTATCATGGAGGAATGATCATCCCCTGCCGTGTGCTCCTTGTCATGATCGGTAAATAACGCGAAAATCCGTCGACAATTCAGTATGTAATAGCCAAACAATTTGTATGAAAAAAAAGCCAGTCAGAATTTGACTTAATGATAAATTGTATTTGCTGACAATGTCATTGTCTCGACCACAGAATTTCCGAAATGTTGATTTTAAACGATCAACGCCTGATCTAACAAACCCATACCATTCATTCTTACTGACAATGGAGAGGCAAAACAAAACATTGATGCCAGATATTATGTTAACATCCCTAAAGTCCAGGGTGCCGTTTTCATCAGTGTCTACAATGTATCTCAGAAACGGACACGGGCGATTTGAAAGCTTCCCCTGTCCCACTGTCAATTTTATGAAGATTGAGCTTAACTGTACACTAGGTTAAATTTCGATAGATAATCAAATTTTAAGTGAAATTTTATGAAATGCCGCGTAAATTGTTTAACAAGAGAAACTTTTTTGTATCGATAGTTGACCTCCTTATATAATATGATAAAAAAATATATAATAGTGATCCAGGGGATAATGTATGTTTAAATAAAATGATTATCCAGACGGAAGTTTTTCTGTATCGACTTCTGTATCGACTTTCAACCATTTTCTCAAATGAGACATAAAGCAAACAAACAGGAAGATTTTAAATTGTAAAAAAAAAAAATGTAATTTAGGCCAACTTTAAAATAATATTTTCTTGCTCTCTCTCCCGACTCAGGGAAAAATTATTAGGTCGGTAGGTAGGTAGGAGAATCTTTTTTCCAAAAAAAGAAATTCAACATATTTGATTACAGGATAAGAGGAATAAAAAGAAAAAATATATATCGTGTCCTGGAATATAAAATGTTTTGAATTTTCAGTCAGTCGGTCGGGAGAGTGACCAAACAATTTTTTCAAGGTGGCCTTATTAATATATGTTTTATTTCACCTGAGCCAAATGTTTAAATAAAATTTTTAATATAATTCGTTATCTTAAGCGTCAACGTTTCTCCTGTTTGCCTTTTCAAGAGTCAAGTCCCAGTTATTGCAGAATAATTCCAATATGAAATAAATTCATTAATTTCCTGTGTTTTGATTGGACAAGAATAGATTCGAAAAAGAATTTACACATCGATGAATTTTACAGCCGGAACTACTTTATTGACCTGTTTCTAGTATAAACAATATGGCTGCCTCCATGTTCTCGTTGATTCTCTAGTTAGTTTGATTGTGTAAAAGTCCTTTTATTTGCATTGATATTAAATTAACAAAATAAAAATTATATTAAAAAGCCTTTTTAATTACTTAAATAAAGAAATTATTTTAAAATTTGAAAAGAAGAAAATTTTATCGTCTGCATTAGACGTCATACGTAGACTACATGATATTACATGTAAAATGGAATCGGATGAAAACGAAAGTTTTGAAACACCCCCAGTAACATTCGAGTTGAATTTACCTGAGGAAATGAATTCAGGAGAGGTTCTTAGTCTTCTAGAAGTACTCCAGTCAGATGTCCAAGGTTTTGATGAGATGCTTTTGAATGCAGTTACAGACATTCAAGAAGACCAAACTTTAGAAGCAGTTACAAAAACTGAGCTGCAACTAGTAGTAGTACTGAAGTCTCACACATAAACACAAATTTACAGCCTCTACCAGACAGCATTTCAGAAGTGACTACTGCTCAGAGATTCAAGACCTTACAGGAACAGGACCTGCTGGAGATTGAAACTAACCAATACAGCAACTCGACAAAGAAAAATACCAAATGGGGCATTGGTGTCTTTAATGGTGAGAATATATTGTAAATTAAAATAACAGATTGTACTTTGATGCATAATTCACCAATTCAACCCAGTCAATGGTCAGTTTTGACATTAGAATGAAAATCAAAACATGAACATTTATGGATTGATAGGTGTGAAAATTTTAAGCCAAAGAATTGTTTCTATAGACTGGCCTACAATCTGTTTTAACCTGAATATTGTGACATACATGTACTCTTCTTCAGTGTTGATGAATAAAAACTAAATCAGATGACTCGGCACACATTATAGCACAGTGTAAACTTATAGAGACTGCCAATTAATTGTTAAACAATTAACATGTTAATAAAGAAAAAAATCATAAAAATTAAAAGTAATAATCAACAATAATATTTCAGCATGGTGTATGGAAAGACTGAATGAGGTTTTAGACTTACATACAATTTCTGCACCTGTATTAGATGAGAATTTGAGGAAATTCTACGCAGAAGCACAGCCAAAGAATTTGAGTAGTCGTGTGCAGAAGATGCCTCAGGAACATGCAGCTGAATACCACAAAAAATCCATGAAAAATGTAAGGGCGGCCATCAGTAGATATTTAAAAGACATAGGGAGACAAATTGATATTGTGAAGGACACTGAATTTAAAAGCTCAAATGCCATGCTCAGTTCAAAGCTGAAATTCAACCTTAAACAAGGCCTCTCCAGACCAACAAAACACCATGCTGCAATTCCTAATGAAGACCTGATGAAAATAAACACCTACCTTTCAGGAAAGAATCCGGTAGCGCTAAGATTCAGGATCTGGTACCTTTTGGCAATTCACTTTGTCAGTCGGGGATGTGAATTTCACCACCAATTATCACTTCAGTCCTTGAAATTTCAAAAGGATGAAAATGGCATAGAATACATAACCATTACACATGAGACGCATCAAAAAAACCACCAAGGAGGGTTAGATGGGAGCTCTGAGGAAGCACAGGACAAACGCATGTATGTTACTGGAAAAGAAACCTGTCCTGTCCAATCTATGAAATTATTCATCTCTAAAACTGACCCCAAAGCCACCTCCTTATTAATGAGTGTGACAAAGATGCACTGCATTCTGAGGATCCCGAAGCTCACGACATTTGGTATTCAAATGTTCCAGTAAAACCAAAAAAGTTTACTACATTTATGCCAGACATATGTAAAAATGCTACCACATAGAGATATACAGCACATTCTTTGAGAACAACCTCCATAACAGCTATGAGCGACGCAGGACTGACAGACAGGAACATCATGTTCATGTCGGATCACAAATGGGAAGAGTCTCTGAAATCCTATTGCCGTCGCCCCAGTGTTCAACAAAAAAAAATGATCAGTTCCGTTCTAGGAAGCGTTGCTGCTGGAGTCGGTGTAGAGAGAAACCCAGACTTACCTGTCGTCCCTGCTCAAGGCCTACCTGATCCAATCTGCCCACCCCCTGCAGCTCTTGTCGCAAATCAAAGCCTAAATATTAATCGTGAGTCCAGCCTTCTTACAGGTTTTGGCTCTTACTCGATGTTCAAGGAATGCACCTTCCACTTCAACCATTAGGCCTAACCACTGACGCTCTCCGTACTAAACATGTCAAGGACGAATAATTCAAAACGGTTGTGGAAAATTGTTTATCATATTTCCGATGTTTGTTGACTTAAAAATTACTTGTTAAAGTTTAATGCGTTTGTTTTATTGTATGTTTTGAATATTAAAGTTAATTATATTAATGTTCTCCAGGATTACGTTTTATTTACACAGTGCGGCGTAATGTATTCCTACGCCATATATAAAAGCGGAGCATTTAATGTATGGAGGCTTCGAAGAGAAATAATTTTAACGCCGAGGAATTATTGGAATTATAAGGATTAAACGTTCTTTTTTCAGAATTTATCGATGTGTAAACTCGCGCCTTTGTACTCACAAACTTTACATAAAAGTGCTTCGCACTTTTATTGAGTTTGTGAGTACAAAGGCGCGAGTTTACACATCGATAAATTCTGAAAAAAGAACGTTTAATCCTATAATGTTTTCCAAACTTGGTACAAAACATTGGCGTCTGTTTCTTCTCATTGTGACGTGTTTCATTTATTTAATCACTTCCCCGTCGATATACTTAACATAGATTTACTCACTAACTCTCTTACTTAATTACATGTAAATGTACGTACTAATTTACTTTCTTTATTACGTTACTTCGCAAGTGGCTAATTCATCGTATTGACCTACAAGACAACAATTTATTAAGCAATATCTCCTCCTTAGGAATAACATGTCATGAGATATGTAATACAAACTAAGCACATGAGTAAATATGGAAAATGTAGTCTTAAGGGAAAATGAAAATAAATACTTGAGAATATACGAGTATGTAGGAAATATTAAATTCTTTTCAGGAAAATTATAAACAGAGGTTGGGTTAAAAGTTAAATAAAGCAATACACGCTTTATAGAAATTAACAAAAACAATTTTTTCCAAAATAAAATCTCAAAGATTCTTCAAAGAAATGGATCAAATTTTTAATATAGGGAAAATGATATAGCAGAAAATCAATGTCAAAAAGGTCGTCCTCATATATAAAAGCCTATGTGTGATATAATATCATATACTTGTAGCTTGTAGTGTATTCATAAGATTTAAAGGTAGGTAGTGACAAAACAAGACTTTAAAATTTTCTTCTGGAATGGTATATATGCTACATTATTTTTCAGAAAAAGAGCAAACCCATATGTCATCAGATTAGCGTTATGGCACAAAAATACATGTATTTTGTTTTTTAATCGAGAGCAATTAAGTTGTTCTGATAATAATTTCCGTATATCATAATTTCATTCTTTGCTTTTCATTTAAAAGTTCTTTTGAGAGAACAGTTCAACAAATCACAAGTCCCTCTTTTTACAATCAAAACTGGTCCGGTTTGACTTAATTTGGAAAGGCGTTGCCATCAAAATGTCAATAAATATCAAGGATCATTTTGCTGATATAAATAGCCTTTTTTCGTTTTTTTTCATCCTTGGATTAAATCTGTAAATTGAAGCATCATGAAGAAAACAATCTTAATTCGAATTATTTTCCTATCTTGCACATCTTTCTTGAGCATGTCGCAAGTTATTTTTGAAGAAGTCTGTGACCAAAAAATATATCATGAAGCCGAACAGATGAGAATGTTTGATAAGTTCTGGAAAATAATGGAATCTCGATTATTTTTATTTGAGGGTCAAATGAAGAAAGACTTTGAAGCCTTTCCAAAGAACGTTCAAAATACTTTACAGCTACAGACTTCTCAACTGGTTCAAACTTTCGACGAACAACGCAAGAATTTGTTTGGTGAGATATATAACATTTCAAAGAGAATTGAAGATCTCGAATTATATCAATCTTCTGTTAACATCGTTTGGCAGAATCAACACACTTCAATCAAAAGTGAAATGAATAATATTTCAACAAGAATTCAGGATATGGAGTCATCTCTTAGCTCTGCATTTGACAATGTTCATAGGGATTTTCAGCATAACATATCAGAAATGAGAGATAAATTTACAAAACTGGATGCAGTTGTGGAAAAAATAGAGACAAGACTAAATAAAAGCGACTTTACATATTTTGAAATTGTTAGAAATATTTCAAAGAATGGTGAATCACTCAATCAAGTATTAAGAGATATATCTTTAATAGAATCAAGTGTTAATAATACTGTTCACAACACTGAAAGCAAGATGACGTTTAAGTTTGAAAAAGGAATAAATGCTTCCAACGAGGCATTATCGAACATGCAAACTTCCCTCAATTCCTTGCACAAGGAAAATGAAGAACACAGAGCAAAATTGGCGAATTTTGAAATCAGATTAGACGAATCAAGTATAATTGCTGAATTTCTTAAAAATAATTTGTCTTTAATTGAAGATAATTTATTAGTAGCAGTTGAAGAAGGTCAAAGGAATTGCATGTGGAAGATTAATTCAACAAAAACGGATATATCTCAAGTTTTGCAAAGGTTATTTACTATTGATAAGTCACTTTCTGCAAAGATAATGAACAACGAAAACAGTATGAACAAGTTAAATTCAACTCTAAGTTCAGTGACGGTAGGACAAAGGAATTGCATGAGGACAATAAATTCAACAAAAGCTTATATTTCCCAAGTTTCGCAAAATTTATCAGAGGTTAATATAACACTTTTAATGAAAGTGGTGGGCACAAATAACAGTTTAAATTCGTTAACTTCAACCCTAACTTCAGTAGCTGAAGAACAAAGGAATTGCACGAGGACAATTAATTCAACAAAAGCGTATATTTCTCAAGTTTCGCAAAGTTTATATGCAGTTAATTTGACACTTTCGATGAAAGTAGTGAACACAGAAAATAGTCTAAATTCGTTACATTCCACCCTAAATACAGCCCAACATGACATTAATTCTCTTTCCAGTGGTTTGTTCAATGCATCCGGGAGTATATCTAGTATTCAGAACTCAGTCCAAGTAGTCACCAACTCAGATGCTGCTCAAAATGTTCAAATCGCCACAATGCAGTCACGATACGAATCTTATAATACTTCGATAACGCTTCTATCGACAATTGTGAAAGCTGCTTGTAAGAACTTTTTTATCACATAAAAATAATGTCAATATTATAATGCTCGCAAAAATGTACAAAATGTTAATTTTGTATGATTTTAGTTACAATAAGCAAACATTTGTAAATGTAACTCATATTTTCTTTTTTTGCTATTTTCTAGTTGAAGTACGCTTAGTGGGTTCTTCTTCATGTGGTAGGGTAGAAGTTTCATATGTTGGGGTTTGGGGAACAATTTGTGATGACGCTTGGGATATCAACGACGCCAATGTGGTCTGTAGAATGCTTGGTTACAGCAGGTAAAACATCATTTTATGAAAAAAAATATTTTCAACTAAATTTAAAGTACGTTTGGCCCTTTTCCAAATCCTCTGATATAAAGGGTCCTCCTCACACCTATAGTAAAAATAATTTGATTTACTAAAGTCAGAACTTATATACATATAATGAACCATAGTAAATAAAATCAAGTATTGTTAACTATAGTATTTTTTGGTTAGGGTTTGTACTTTAAAGTTCTTTAAAAGTGTTTGTTTATCATGATCGCAGACATGCCAAAAATTCTTCCTTGATCAAATGTACTTTATATCTTGAATTTCTAATAATGAAGTATTTTTTGTCATTTTGGAGAATTCGCAAGACCATCCGCTTACCACGTATCTATAGAAGATTTCATCTTATTCTTTAAAACAAAATCTGCATATTGAAAAGTCGTTTCCATTTCATTCCACTTATCAATAAATGCAGGCGGAGTTGAACAGAGAAAAGCTGAAGTGTGTGCAATTAATTTTTCAAAACTTATTAAATTGATTTTTAGTGGCGGGAGAGCTTTTTCTCAAGCAACATATGGTCGAGGGAGTGGAAAAATATGGCTTGACCAAGTCCAATGCGATGGAACAGAGTCATCATTGTGGGAATGTCCAAAAAATCCAATCGGAATCCACGATTGTGGTCACCACGAGGACGCTAGTGTATGCTGCGTGGGTTTGTTAATGCAGCACGCACCGATTGAAAAACCTAGTGAATGGAACAGAATGGAAAATACTTAAAGGAGTACACTGTTTGTGACGAGCTGACGCTTTAAACTTTACGTTTTTGAACTTTAAATTCTACGTCACATTCTCGCCACATCAAAGGAAGTAGCCGACATAGCGTCTCTCCCACGCTAAAGTCGGTCAGCTGCAACATAAAGCTTGTTTTAGGGGTTCAAGAAATGGAGAAGTCAGTCCCGATGTCGTTTTCTTGAATGTTGCTTGCAAAGTTAAAAGTTTTTTTTACCTTGAATTTAAAAAAAAAGTTTTTTTATATCTTGCAATTGAATTTAAAAATTTTAAGATTTTTTTCAGTCCATTACGAATATTTAAATTTGTCAATTATTTTATTGTATTATCGCCAAATTTACTTTTTTTTCATATTGGCGTACAAGTATAAAAGTCGAGTAGTGCATGATTCATTGATCATTGGATTTATTAGTTACGCGTATCAACCCAAGTCATGCATTCTGAGATTGTTGCAATTTGGTACAAAATATACATGGTGAAAAATGGACCAGGCTGAAGCTAGCAGCCAATAACAGCAGCCACTAAGCGCGTAGATGCTAGCAGCCAATAAGGAAATTCATCAAAGAACTGAAAGTACTCAGACGCAGTACTGTTTTTAATACGTTATTTTAGATAATTAATGGTTTATGATTAGAAAATTAATGCAACAATTAATTACATAATAAATCAGATACTCAGAGGCAGTAAGGCTCACCTGAACAATTCTTTTTCTTTTTTAAAACCGAAAAAAGGAAATAAATTACTTTATAATTTTTATCCAATTGAACAAACAAGCACTAGGAAATGATTAACTCCTTCAGGAAGAATCCCATTTCAACTCCTTCAGGGACCTCACGATTATGATCGGGCCAATAAGCTAACCTGAAATTTGATTAATATATAACGATTGAAACAGAAATATGGCACAAGTGTAAACTAGGTTGAAGTATATTTCGAACATTATTACTGGGACAACTTAATGAATCTATAAGACTGTAAATTACCACTATCAGAAATAAGTGGTGGTGGTGCCACCAAGTGGTTCTAAAAGCATTTTTGATATTACAGTCAGGTATTATACCCATGATTTATAAAGTGATCAACACTACTAGGGCAAGATAGAAGGGCCCAAGGATTATTATTTCCTGCTATCACTATAATCAGAAGTTGCTTTAGTGGTACCACCAGGTGGTGCCAAGTGCATGGGTAATATTTCAACCAATCATTCGTCATCAATTATTGGTGATTAAGTTAAGGGTCTTAGGGAGAATCCCTTGTCAACGTTTCAAAAGGTTCCAGGGACCGGAAAGGGAAAGTTATCTATATCAGTTAGCTAACCTGAACTTTGGCTGTTTTGCATTTTATCCCAAAAACGCGATTTAAGATAAGCTATTACACGCCTTATCTTTAGAGTGTTCATCAAATGATTATTGGGGCAAGGTAGAATGGCCCTTGGGCTATCACTTCCCACTTTCAGAATAGGGTTGTAGTGGCACCACCAAGTGCGTGGTGCATATTTCCAGCATTCATATTTTATTCATTGTCGGCCTCCTGAACAAACTAACACTGGGGGTGCGTAAGGGGGCCTTAGGGGGTATCCCTTGACAGATTTCTGCAGGGTTCTAGGGGCTGGAAGGGTCCAATTAGCTAACCTGAACTTTGATGTTTTTCATCATTGTACATCGGGAAACGGGAAAAGGGCAGCTATTCTACGCCTTATCCTTGAAGTGTTCATCAAATGATTATTGGGGCAAGGTAGAGGGGCCCTAGGGCTATCATTTGCCACTTTCAGAATGGGGCTGTAGTGGCACCACCAAGTGGTTCCAAGTGCAAGGGGCATATTTCCAGCATTCGTTATTTATTCATTGTCGGCCTCCTGAACAAACTAACACTGGGGGTGCGTAGGGGGCCTTAGGGGGTATCCCTTGACAGATTTCTGCAGGGTTCTAGGGGCTGGAAGGGTCCAATTAGCTAACCTGAACTTTGATGTTTTTCATCATTGTACATCGGGAAACGGGAAAAGGGCAGCTATTTAAAGCCTTATCCTTGAAGTGTTCATCAAATGATTATTGGGGCAAGGTAGAGGGGCCCTAGGGCTATCATTTGCCACTTTCAGAATGGGGCTGTAATGGCACCACCAAGTGGTTCCAGGTGCATGGGGCATATTTCCAGCATTCATATTTTATTCATTGTCGGCCTCCTGAACAAACTAACACTGGGGGTGCGTAGGGTGCCTTAGGGGGTATACCTTGACAGATTTCTGCAGGGTCCTAGGGGCTGGAATTGCCAATTAGCTAACCTGAACTTTGATGTTTTTCATCATTGTACATTGGGAAACGGGAAAAGGGCAGCTATTATACGCCTTATCCTTGAAGTGTTCATCAAATGATTATTGGGGCAAGGTAGAGGGGCCCTAGGGCTATCATTTGCCACTTTCAGAATGGGGCTATAGTGGCACCACCCAGTGGTGCCAAGTGCGTGGTGCATATTTCCAGCGTTCATATTTTATTCATTGTCGGCCTCCTGAACAAACTAACACTGGGGGTGGGTAGGGGGCCTTAGGGGGTATCCCTTGACAGATTTCTGCAGGGTGCTAGGGGCTGGAAGGGTCCAGTTAGCTAACCTGAACTTTGATGTTTTTCATCATTGTACATTAGGAAACGGGAAAAGGGCAGCTATTATACGCCTTATCCTTGAAGTGTTCATCAAATGATTATTGGGGCAAGGTAGAGGGTACCTAGGGCTATCATTTGCCACTTTCAGAATGGGGCTGTAGTGGCACCACCAAGTTGTTCCAAGTGCGTGGGGCATATTTCCAGCATTCATATTTTATTCATTGTCGGCCTCCTGAACAAACTAACAATGGGGGTATGTAGGGGGCCTTAGGGGGTATCCCTTGACAGATTTCTGCAGGGTGCTAGGGGCTGGAAGGGTCCAGTTAGCTAACCTGAACTTTGATGTTTTTCATCATTGTACATTCGGAAACGGGAAAAGGGCAGCTATTATACGCCTTATACTTGAAGTGTTCATCAAATGATTATTGGGGCGAGGTAGAGGAGCCCTAGGGCTATCATTTGCCACTTTCAGAATGGGGCTGTAGTGGCACCACCAAGTGGTTTCAAGTGCCTGGGGCATATTTCCAGCATTCATATTTTATTCATTGTCGGCCTCCTGAACAAACTAACACTGGGGGTGCGTAGGGGGCCTTAGGGGGTATCCCTTGACAGATTTCTGCAGGGTCCTAGGGGCTGGAAGGGTCCAATTAGCTAACCTGAACTTTGATGTTTTTCATCATTGTACATTGGGAAACGGGAAAAGGGCAGCTATTTAAAGCCTTATCCTTGAAGTGTTCATCAAATGATTATTGGGGCAAGGTAGAGGGGCCCTAGGGCTATCATTTGCCACTTTCAGAATGGGGCTGTAGTGGCACCACCAAGTGGTTCCAAGTGCCTGGGGCATATTTCCAGCATTCATATTTTATTCATTGTCGACCTCCTGAACAAACTAACACTGGGGGTGCGTAGGGGGCCTTAGGGGGTATCCCTTGACAGATTTCTGCAGGGTCCTAGGGGCTGGAAGGGTCCAATTAGCTAACCTGAACTTTGATGTTTTTCATCATTATACATTGGGAAACGGGAAAAGGGCAGCTATTATACGCCTTATCCTTAAAGTGTTCATCAAATTATTATTGGGGCGAGGTAGAGGGGCCCTAGGGCTATCATTTGCAACTTTCAGAATGGGGCTGTAGTGGCACCACCAAGTTGTTCCAAGTGCCTGGGGCATATTTCCAGCATTCATATTTTATTCATTGTCGACCTCCTGAACAAACTAACACTGGGGGTGCGTAGGGGGCCTTATGGGGTATCCCTTGACAGATTTCTGCAGGGTCCTAGGGGCTGGAAGGGTCCAATTAGCTAACCTGCACTTTGATGTTTTTCATCATTGTACATTGGGAAAAGGGAAAAGGGCAGCTATTATACGCCTTATCCTTGAAGTGTTCATCAAATGATTATTGGGGCGAGGTAGAGGGGCCCTAGGGCTATCATTTGCCACTTTCAGAATGGGGCTGTAGTGGCACCACCAAGTTGTTCCAAGTGCCTGGGGCATATTTCCAGCATTCATATTTTATTCATTGTCGGCCTCCTGAACAAACTAACACTGGGGGTGCGTAGGGGGCCTTAGGGGGTATCCCTTGACAGATTTCTGCAGGGTCCTAGGGGCTGGAAGGGTCCAATTAGCTAACCTGAACTTTGATGTTTTTCATCATTATACATTGGGAAACGGGAAAAGGGCAGCTATTCTACGCCTTATCCTTGAAGTGTTCATCAAATGATTATTGGGGCAAGGTAGAGGGGCCCTAGGGCTATCATTTGCCTTTATCTGTCTGTTTGGCCGTGAAAACTTTAATCTTGTCCTTAACTTTTGGTTTAATGGGACTATGACTTTCATATTTCACGTTTGTACTCCGTATAACAAGACATTTCTTTTTGAACCACCAAATTTGACCTTTTTACCTTGACCTTGGAGTTTGACCTTCTTTCAAATTTTTTAGCCTTGTCCATAACTTTTGAACGGTAAAGGTCAAAACTTCCATCCTTTACATACTCAGTATGTATTCTATGTGACAAGACCTTACATTGGATACTAGTTACCTTGACCTTTGGACCTTGACCATGGAGATTTTTATACTTATGAACAAGATGCGTTTTTTGAAACACTGTGCGCACGGCGGCAAAAAAGTTAAAAAAAAAACAATTTTATAGCATATAGGTCATAGTCAAGGTCACAAAGAACTTGAATAGTGAAGCATGCATACTAAATATGAAGTTTTTATCTCTTATGGTTCCAAACGAGTTATTTTTAGCATATGGGACACAATCAAGGTCACAAGGTTATTGGCCTTCGTGGCACGTGAATGTGCTTCATTAGTGAAGTATACATTTCAAATATTGTCTCTATCTTTCTTCGTTCAAAAGTTATGGCGAAGGTTAAAATTGCAGACAAAAAACTGTATTTAGCGTATACACTGTAGGTCACAGTCAAGGTCACAAGGTCATTGGCCATGGTGGCATTAACCAGTGGTGTATGCATACCAAATATGAAGTCTCTATCTTTTATGGTTCAAAATTTATGGCGAATGTAAAAGTTTGCAGAAAAAAATATTTTTAGCATATAGGTCACAGTCAAGGTCACAAGACTTTTGAACA